TGTTGTCGACATTGACTGCTTGAAAGGTCATCTTGTTCTCCAACTGTTGTATTTTCGTGTTTTGTTGCTTCAGAATCATCTCGATACGTACAAACTCACCGCAGCACAGCAAGAGAGCGACTAACGAAATAATGGCGACTATCGTTGAAACGGTTAACTTTATATTCGACTTGGAAGCTTTGCCATCCATTTTTAGTTTGCAAAGATACACTCGGTTATTAAGCTTCTCTCAAGAGCATTCCTTTGAGATATCAAATGAAAACGAATACACAAATCATACTTATTTATTAAACCAGACTTGATTTGATCGAATTACGTACAAAGGTTGCCTCTGATCAATTTTAATAGACTCTAGAATTTCAAGACACAATAAAAGTATTTGGCAAGAAATCAAGAATCGTCACTACTGTGATCGATATTTTTTGTTATATAGGACACAGGTAGCCAAATTCAAGATTTTATTATATAAACTATAATTTTTTACAAAGATTTCTACAATTGAGAAATTTCGTATTTCAACACATGTAAAAATACGATAATTTTCACATGTAAAATTATAACCAATCAGCTTTCAGTATTCTGTGACGTCATTGCTCTCACAGGCGCGGGAAAATCACAATGGTCGGCAGCTTTGTCTCGTATGTGGTTGCTCACGGGATCGATAATTTTGTTAAAATTATCGAAAATTAGTATGGGTAATAGGACTTCATGCTGTCCAATTCGGAAATAATTGGATGAAAAAAATTTTCGAGGACAGACAAAATTGGAAGAGGCCGATAGGCCGAGTCCAATTTGACAGTCAGAGGAATTTTTTTGAATTCAATTATTTCCAAATTGGACAGACATGTAGTCCTATTGCAGATTAATTATATCAAAGTATTCCAAAGAGTTCATTGGCGGGGATATCTTCTAAGCGCCTTTTTTCTTGTCTTAACATCCTCCAGAAGTCAAATACTTTCATCTAAGCACATGGCGGTACTTTTCTTCGTGTTTTTGTTAACATTTCTTTGGCACATTTCATTTAAACTATCCTCAGATACTTCGGGAAATCTGTTAACTAATTCCTGAAGTTCCATGTCAACCATATTATGGTTTTCTACGCTAAAAAGTTCAAAAAGATCCCAATTAACAACTTCCTCCGGCATTTTGAAAAAAAATACACGACGAAAAAAAGGTCGTCGAGTTGGTATTGCAGTGTAATTCTGGGACTGTTTTCACCATTTTGGGAATACGTCCCTAAAACAGCCTCACAATGCACAACAATGCCAAGTTGACCCGGATTTTCCCTCGACCTCGTAATGGCTATTACAACACTGTAAATCGAACCCACWTAGCATTTTAACTTTCGAATGCCCTATAATGCTTTGCGCTTGAGGCAACCAATCAAAACACTGTTCCAAAATGAAATGTTCTATAACTGAAATTACACTAAACCTGCTTTTATATGTAAAATACTAATTCATTCAGTTCATTATCAGTTAACGGAGGTGTTTCAGTAGTTAATTTTTGTTTAATATGCCAACAGACCATCCCATCATGCATTGCGTATAAAACAATGTTAGTGGAATTTTCATCATATCATTTTACGCCATCTGCTGAATCGTTAAAACTCTCGATAATTATCAAATACTAGAACACTTTAGCCTACATTGGTTATATGTTCTATACGTTCTATACATGGATAATACAAAGGAGMTAAATTTAGRGGGCAACACRAAAGAATTTCAATCTCCTGAAAACTGTTTTGCCCTGTAAAATTTAGYTGCATTCCGCAGTGCTACAAGGGTTCTAAAGATTAAAATACATTGTGCTATGGACACTAAAACCGTGAACACTTTGTGTTTTTCCCTCAGGTCATTATTTCCTGAACTTTCTACTGTTTCAGATCCTCTAATTGAAGCTTTGAGTTCAAATACACCGATTGATCAAAATATATAAATCTTCTTTATATTCGATTGGCTTAAGGAATGACTTACAGTATGACTTACCATAATGATAACGATAATAATAATAATAATAATAATAATAATAATATCAGAAAGCCTCTATAACCATCTAGAGGAACAAGAATTGATACCATTTGAACAGAAAGGCTGTCGTCGTGGATCGAGAGGAACAAAAGACCAACTCCTCATCGACAAGGCAGTTCTGCGAAGTGCAAAGAGAAAGCACAAGAACTTGGAAAAGGTGTGGGTAGACTACAAAAAGGCACATGACTCTGTACCTCATAGCTGGATAATCACTTCCCTTGAAAACATCAAGGCTCAGCCATCGATCGTAGCATTCATGAAGAGAGCAATGTCGCAGTGGAGGACTGAACTAAGGTTAGACGGAGAATCATGTGGTCATTGTGAGATAAAGCGTGGAACATTTCAGGGAGACTCGATGTCACCGTTACTATTCATCATATGTCTCATACCATTGACGTCCATACTGAACAACACAAGGAAAGGTTACAAGCTGAACAATGGTAATGTACTGAATCATTTGTTATATATGGATGATATGAAGCTCTATGGGAAGAACGAGAAAGAAATTGGGTCACTATTACACTCTGTACGAATATTTAGTACAGACATTGGGATGACATTTGGGATAGAAGTGCGCCAGAGTAGGAGTAAGAAGAGGAAAGGTGGTAAAGAGGGAGGGGATAGAGCTACCCTTGGTCAGCAGATAAAGAATTTGGAAGGAAATGATCACTATAGGTATCTAGGAGTGTTAGAGAAGGAAGATATCAACCATCAGAAAGTTAAGAATAACGTCCAACTAGAATACAAAAGGAGATTAAGACTGATTCTTAAGTCAAACCGTCCTTTTTTCACGAGGGTAGCACTTAATAGGCAGTGGCTAACAAACCTGTGGCCATCATTCCGTGATCGAATTGGAATTTAGGAGTTGATTTTTGCGGAGGGAGGAAAACCGGAGAACCCGGAAAACGCTCGAAGCACAGGAGAGAACCAACAAACAACTCTACTCACATACGACACCGAGCTCGTCGGGACTCGAACTCGGGTCGCATTGATGAGTGGAAAGCGCTCACACCGCTACGCCACCCGTGCTTCCCAAAGTTATCAGGAAGAAACAAGATTTCCGCCATTAATGCCTATGCGGTTCCAGTAATCAGATACACAGCTGGAATAGTAAATTGGACAAACGAAGAACTCTACTCTCTAGACAGAAAGACGTGTAAAATAGTAACCATGCATCCACGTGCTGAATATAGATCGTATCTATCTTCCAAGATCTATGTGTGGAAGAGGACTTAAGACCGTAGAGGACACTGTAAGAGTGACTCATCGCTGTGCCGACTATGTAAAGAAAAGACGGAAACTGTGGACCACCTTGTATCTGGCTGCAAAGTACTGGCAGGGAGAGAGTATAAAGACAGACATGACAAAGTGGCAAGGACAATACATTGGCACCTATGTAGGAAACACCAAATACAGTTCACTGCATATATATAATTGGTGGGATCACGAACCAGAGAAAGTAGTGGAAAACGAAAAGGTCAAGATCCTATGCGATTTTAATGTTAACACGTAGAAGAAGATTGAAGCAAGAAGACCAGACATCATAGTCGTAAATAAGAGCAAGAAGAAGGCGAGTGCCTATGGACCATAAATTGATCAAAAGGAAATGGAAAAGATTGACAAGTACCAAGACCT